CAGAAAGTGCTGCATAGAGGATCTTATGCTCATGGCCTCTATCCTCTTTCTTTATCCTCTTCTGCATCTTCTTCTTTACCAGCTTGTTTCTCTTGTACAAAGCAGTCTGCTGCTCCCAATTGGCATTTACGACTGGGACATCATTTTTCTCAAAAATTTTAGCATGTCTTGGCACATAATAGATTCATGCATTCATCTTCTGTACATCCCATCTATTTATAATATATTAATAAAGGATTAAATGAATAATATGCATAATATGCATTTTATTGAAAAAATAAAATATATTAATAAAGGATTAAATGTAAGTAATATGCATTTTATTGAAAAAATAAAATATATTAATAAAGGATTAAATGTAAGTAATATGCATTTTATTGAAAAAATAAAATATATTAATAAAGGATTAAATGTAAGTAATATGCATTTTATTGAAAAAATAAAATATATTAATAAAGGATTAAATGTAAGTAATATGCATTTTATTGAAAAAATAAAATATATTAATAAAGGATTAAATGTAAGTAATATGCATTTTATTGAAAAAATAAAATATATTAATAAAGGATTAAATGTAAGTAATATGCATTTTATTGAAAAAATAAAATATATTAATAAAGGATTAAATGTAAGTAATATGCATTTTATTGAAAAAATAAAATATATTAATAAAGGATTAAATGTAAGTAATATGCATTTTATTGAAAAAATAAAATATATTAATAAAGGATTAAATGTAAGTAATATGCATTTTATTGAAAAAATAAAATATATTAATAAAGGATTAAATGTAAGTAATATGCATTTTATTGAAAAAATAAAATATATTAATAAAGGATTAAATGTAAGTAATATGCATTTTATTGAAAAAATAAAATATATTAATAAAGGATTAAATGTAAGTAATATGCATTTTATTGAAAAAATAAAATATATTAATAAAGGATTAAATGTAAGTAATATGCATTTTATTGAAAAAATAAAATATATTAATAAAGGATTAAATGTAAGTAATATGCATTTTATTGAAAAAATAAAATATATTAATAAAGGATTAAATGTAAGTAATATGCATTTTATTGAAAAAATAAAATATATTAATAAAGGATTAAATGTAAGTAATATGCATTTTATTGAAAAAATAATGTATTATTTTTATCACGGATCGTATACTAGTATGGATATAGATAGTAATAGTAAGAGAGGATTTTGATACATCCCATCTATTTATAAAATATTGTTTTTAAACAATAAAATAAAAGATATTATTTTTAAATTATAAAATAAAGGATAAGATAAAAAAAATATTTATATATAATCTTTTCTCGAGCTCAAGTTCAAACATTTTCTTAATGAAATTTATTTCTTTACCAAAAAACACAAAAGCCTTTGGCAAGATGGTTTTCAGGCTTTTTTGGCTATTTTAGCCACAAAAAATAAAATAGGCTATTTTAGCCATAACAAACAAAACATCACATCCAACCTATAATCATTATATTCTTCTCTCACAAAAAAAGTCAAAAAAGCCAAAAAGCTAAAAAACCCTTCACAAACCAAGCTTTTTAGCCCAGGCTAAAATAGCCAAAAAAGCCAAAAAGTCAAAAAGCCAACCTACTTCCCAAACCAAAGCATGAAAAAATGGCATCCATATGATCCTTCACCATACAAATATGATCAATTTTGCTATTTCTCACAATTGCCAATTACAAATAAAAAACACAGTGTGTATAACTTTGGTATCAGTCAATTAATAACTTTTTTTGATTGAAATATATATATAAAGTTAATATATTACCTTATTCCATATTTTAACTGTGTGTTCTTATTCTTATGACAACAAACTCTTGTAACTTATCATCACCATCAATATGATCTTCGTTGTGATATAGGCCTACATTCACAAAGTATTACTATAATCAAAATAAAAAATCATTAAATTAAGTTAATTTTAATTCAAATAGAAAATATTCTTTCTTTTAAATTCAAAAAGTTATGAAAGATTTTTTTTTTTTTTTGAAAACCTAAAATATGATAAGTGTTGACAATTGTAGCTATATATATATTGTGGCAATCTTGTATTGAGTTAGAGAGCTTTCCTTTTTGAAATTCTTCAATCTTGGGATAAATCATGGTAATTTACATGAAATTCTTAAATCATGGAATAAATCATGACATATTTAAATTTGTATTGTGACAATTATGAATTTAAATTTTATACTTAAATAAACTAGCCAATAAAAGTTTTGATTTTAAAAATAATTTTGTATGATATTTTGAAACTCTCATAACATCTCTTTTTAAAAGCATTCTTTTGTAAAATATATAGATATATAGTTAATCTCAACGTCACTCTTATCGCTCCTCAATACAAAAAATTATGAGCTAATTATCAAAATTTTAAATTTGCATTTAAAACTTATAAATGATGGAATAGATTATTATAATTTTGATTTTATATTGTGCCAATTTTACATTTAAATTGATAGATTACTTTTCATATTTAGTGGCTCTAAAATTTAAATTTTGAAATAGATTAATATACTTTTCATTTGAAAGTCATAAATTAAGCGACATTTTTTTTTCTTTCTTTCCTCCTCCTCCTCCTCCTCCTTCTTCTTCTTCTTTTTTTAATTTTTTTTATTACTTAAATGAGAGCTAGCCAATATTTTTATTTTAATTATTTAAAATTAAAAGATTAAAAATTTTATTTTAAGATATTGAAACTCTTAGAGCCCTCATGTTAACAATTTTATTTTTTCAATATGTATATATATAAATTTGTTGTTTTATTTATAAAATAATATTATTATAATAGATATCATTACTGACAACTAAATTAACACATTAATTGATAAAAGAAGATAACATAGCAATTATATGTAGATTTCATGTTTTTTTATTTTTTTTAATTTTTAATTTTAATACAAAACGTGATGTGACTCACATTTATTAATATATGTCATTTATTTTTACTCTTGAGTGAAAAAAAATAAATAATATTACCCGAATTATAAATGTCACATCATATAAATGATGCGGCTCCTAAACCTAAGAAAAGAAAAATCATCGGAGTCAAAGCCGGCGTTTGTTGATTTTTTTAGTTAGAGAATATTATTAGGGAAATATTTTTTTGTGTTTGAAAAGATAATTGAATTTTTTTATGATTAGATATGATGTTTATAAGAAAAAAAATAAAATGATTATGAAATTTGATGTGATATTTTGTTTGGATTGATTTTTTTTAATTTTGTAAAATATTTGTCTTGTAGTGAAAAAAATAAAAAAAACCAAAAAATTTATACCATAATATTTAAATTTAATGGACATGATATTCAATCCCCTGTAATTCTTCTGAACAAATACATTTTAGAATTCAGAATTTTTAACATGAGTTGCTTGGAAAATTAATGTTTTAATAAAAAAAAAATTTAAAAAGTCATTATAAAAAATAATTTTATTTTCTTACATATTTGTTTTTTGTAAAAAAAATTAATATTATTGAAAAAATCAATTCATAAAAATGGTTATAATGCTTGGTTCCATTTTTCTAAAAACAGTTTTCAGAAAATTCTACTTTCTTATTTTTCATTTTTTTTTGTTTTTACTTAATTTTTTAAATATTTTATGCAAATTTTTTACTTTTTAGACACACCTAACATAAATACACCTAAAAAATAAAAAATTGTAAAAAAAATCTTTTATAAATTCACTAAATACCAAAAATATAAAAAAATACAAGAATTCAGTACATTTTTTATATTTTTATGTATTTCTTAATTTTTTAAAATATTTTTTCACAATTTTTTCACTTTTTAGATACATCTAAGTAAGGTGCATCTAAAAAAGTAAAAAAATGTTTAAAATTTTAAAAAATTCACTAAAAACAAAAAAACACGAAAACAAAAAAACTCAGTTTTCAAAAAACTTAATCCAGAAAACTCAAACCAAACACACTTGTTTTTTTTTTTATAAATTATTTATAATCAAATTATAGTCTAGATAATTTATAGGGGATTCATGTATAGGTCTTAAAAGGTAGACTTATTGTCTAATAGGTTCTGTGAGAATTTATGACATTTTTCATTAAATACTATTAAAAAAATTATTAATTATTAATTTTTAGCGACAGTTTGAAAATTTTGTTACAAAAGGTCACTAATTATAAATTTTAGCAACGGTTTAAAAAAATCACAAAAAAGATCACTAATTTTCAAATTTCAATGACAGTTTAAAAAATTCACCACAGAAAAATGTCACTAATTGTAAATTTTAGTTATAATTTATAGAAATCGTATAAAAAAAAGTCAGTAATTATCAATTTTTAATGATATGCAAAAAAATTATTACAAAAAATTATTTTTAACGATAATTTTATTAAAATTTATTTTCAATGAAACTAGATAAGAATTAAGATTAATTATTAAAACCTATTAATAATTTATTCTAATTCTTCTCATATACATTTCGACTAATAACAAATCTTAAAATTAAGGACTGGTCAAATTTTTTTACACTTGAACTTCTTGCGGTTCCGTTTGGGAAGAAAAAAGTTATTTTTAGTTAAAATAGTCAATTTTTTTTTAATCCAATAAGACAAAACAACACATCTAATTCATAATCATTACATTCTTTCTCTTATAAAAAATTTCAAGAAAAACCAAAAATACTTTTCCAAAGAGACTTTTTAACCTGAAATTAAAATAGTTAAAAAAATTAGGGTGGTTTAGAATGACCTAAATAAATGTATTTTTTATCTTTTTTACGAAAAAATATACAAAAAAAATAAAAAGATAATGTAATAAAAAAAAATAAAAAGATAATGTAATAAAAAAAATAAAAAAATAAATTATTTTATATATACCAAACTTGATCTAATCCACTATCCTAATAACGTATAACGTCGGTCTTTTGATTGCCGGTCGTTCCACTAATACTAGCCAAACTATAATGTGTATTATTGAGAACAATATCATTTTCCTGGTATCCTTTGGTCTTTTGTGTGATTTTTAAAATATTTGTGATTTTAAAATATTGTTACTTTATTCTTCCAACAAAGAACGTCTTGTCACCCACCCAAGACACGGAACCGCTGCAGTCCCCGGCCGAGCCATCACCACCGACGCAACCTCTGCAGCACCATCCACCGTCCGATTTTCATCTAATCATGACCAACCTCCACTGTAGAAGTAACTACATATAGAAACCTCCTTGATTCGACCCCCTCAACTCTTGAAAAATTCTCTTTTTTCACACTTTCATGTTGTTTCTATTTCAAGAAAGTCCTCACTGACTGCTCAAACAATCAATTGAACTCCGTCTTAGTTTTGGGTAATTGTTACTAGTTCTTTGGAAGTAGATGAGTAAGTAGTTTGTGTCCACATCCACTCTTTAGGGTTTCATATATTTCTTCATCCCAATTGTTGTGTTCCTAGTTTAGGGTTGTTTTAAGTCATCTGGGTTTTTGTTGAGAAATGGAGGAGTATAATAGTCAGATGAACGAGAACACAGCTTCAAGGGGTAGCTTCTTCTTGTACGGTGGTGGTCCAGTTCTTGGACCTAGCGCTTCTGTGTACGGACGAACTAGCAGTGGCTCTAATCACCAGACCCAGATGCCTATAAATACCTTTCATCTTCTTCAATCGGGTTCTAGTGATCAGTGTTATCATCAATCTGAATCCCCAATTGTCAAGACTGAAGCCGAAACTTCCCAGAAATTTCACTACCCTTCAATCATAAGAACCCACACTCACCAAAGCAGTACTGTTCATCATAATCATCAACAACAAGAAGAGAATGAGAACTCGAATGATGTTGAAGCTATCAAAGCTAAGATCATCGCTCATCCTCACTACTCCAGCCTTTTGGAAGCCTACATGGACTGTCGAAAGGTATTAAATTACCATCATAGAAAATGGTTTGCCATTTCAAAGATTGACTCTCTCTCTCTCTCTCTCTCTCTCTCTCTAACGTAGGTGGGGGCTCCTCCGGAAGTGGTGGCGAGGCTCACGGAGGTTCGGCAAGAGTTTGAGACGAGGCAGCGAGATTCAGTGAATTGTAGAGACGATTCAAAAGACCCAGAACTCGATCAGTTCATGGTGTGACTCTTTTACTTAAATTGAAGTGAATTTGCTGCTAATGGGTCTTTTGATCTTATCTTTTTGTTTTTGGGTCTCTTTATTCAAAGTCCTTTGTTGTTGGTACTGACTAGTCTTTTCGCATTCTTGTTTTTTCTTTCACTTTTCTTTGGTTTGTAGGAGGCTTATTACGACATGCTGGTGAAATATCGACAGGAGATTACAAGGCCATTACAAGAGGCTATGGAGTTCACTCAAAGGATCGAAACACAACTCAATATGCTCAACAATGGCCCTTTGCAGATCTTCACCTCTGGTACTACTTTCTCTCTCCACATTTGTATGTGTGTTCTTTTAGAGAGAGATTCAACATTTTTACATTTTTAACTGCAAATTCGATTGTTGCAGAGGTGGGTTTGGCTCGGTTTCCCTTGATAATGAAAAAAAACTGATAGTTAAAACTGTCCAGTGAGTGAGTCTCGAAGGTTCAGTACTGTCCATTTTTCTTTCATTTATTACTGTCCCATTTCTAGTGAAGAAAATTTTGACTAATATATAAAGCTATGCATTGTGTCTATATATTAATATATATAGAGAGAGAAAGATTGGGGTGTTTGTGTGTTAGGGGGCAAACCCTAATCACGATTTACGAGTGTATAGTGAAAAAGATATGATTTGGTTCCCTTATATACAATAAATTAAGTGATAAACAATGATGAGTTACACTAATCTGAAAGTAATGTATGAACATTAAACAATGATGAAACTAACCTTTGCCTCTCTTCTCTCTATTCAGTTTTAAGCTTTTATCAATTCTACATGGTTCTGAAAATCTTCCAAATTTTTTGAATTAGGTTGTGTTTTTGTTTTTATCTTTTGAAAAATGCAAAATACTCGTTTGTTGAATCGATTTCTGGAATCATTTTGAAAATAATTCAATTTTTAAAAAACTTCAAGAAATTTAAGATAAATTACATTCAACTCCCCTGAGATTTGATAAAATACAGTTAATTCTATATTTTTGGCATTTTTGTCATCAACCTCTCGCGATTTTAATTCGTATAACACTAGATTATTTTTTTATAAGTAATTAGTGAGTCGTATGGATGGAAAAATAATGTGTTGTGATTTTATTTCATATTAGTTTTGATGATTTTATCTTTACTAAAAAATGTCAAACTTGTGGGGCTAATTATAGTTTTTGTCAAACATTAGGGGAAGTAAGTGTAATTTTTCCAAAAATTTAACACTCGGCTTACAAGAGAGTTATCTTTCTCACCATTTCACATCTTTGCATTTATTTCTCACTCAACTTATAAACCAAAAAAGAAAATTTTTATTTTTATTTTTCATTTTTATTTTATCATTTCTTCTCAAATCAACCCATCCCAACAGAGTAAAATATATTTTTTCAAAAGCACACCAGACATGTCTAAACTCTCACACAATGTGAATATATACGGTTATTAAAGGAGATCTATATATCTAGAGATGGACAGAATATGTGAGTATTATTGTCATTTCCTAGTTTGTCTTTCCTTTTTAGTGGAAAACAAAATTGTTTTTGGTTACTCAATCTAAAGTGGGTTAGGCCCTTGGAAAATGAACATAGGGTGCTGTTCATTTCAGTGCTACCCCATGTTGCCTGTACCGCTTTGTCAGGATTGTAGCCATATTTACTTCTTTGTGTATTATTATGGATTACACTTTGCGTTTATTTATTTATTTATTTTTTACCCCTTATTATACATATATATATATATATATATTTTGTGGTGGGTAAATTATGTTTTTGTCTGTTTGCCTAATTTTATTCTTGTTTTTGTTTTTCCTATTTATACAATCAGAGACAAAGCCTGGAAGCCATATGTGATATATGTTCCAACCAATGTCATTATTATTATTATTATTATTATTAATGTTAATTTTAATATGAATGGTAATATGAATTTTTATTTTTATTTTTGGTGAGTTGATAGAATGGCAAAAGGAAAATTATTATACTCTTAAGAGTATCATGTCATTATCTATATGGTACGAAATCATAATACACATTTGGTTGATAATCATTTACCTCCTAGTTTCTTAACAAAGGTGAATAGCATGTCTAATGATCCCATATGTAAATTTTTTTGCTATGTGATTTGTTTGGAGTACCACGTAAACATTAACACATCGTGCTTGGGTACTGCGAAATAATTACCTATTAGTATGAATGTTAATAGTAATGATACAATAATTCTTTCGAACTTTCAAAGGTTTTGTTATTGTTTTTAGTCGCTACAAGTTTTTGCCAAGGGAATAAGAAATTGCCTCAAATTACATACATATTTGGGGATTTATGCCTCTATACATAGATCTTGTAGAAATATGAAAGGTTAAATTTCACTTTACCTTGTGGTTTGCTTATGGGCGTATGACCCTCTATCATTTGAAAATAAGCACATTATTTCCATGTGATTTGTGAACTGAAGTATACCGTCGGAGTTGTTAACAACTTAAGTGAAAAGACTACTAAGGTACATAAGTAACCTTATTGTACAAATCAGACATTTTTTTTCATTTTTTTGGGAGATGAAATTTACTTTAACCCTTGTGCTCTAACATTAGCAAATGAGCACATAACCCTTTTGACCTGGCGTTTTGTTTCATACTTGTTGTTAATGCACAAACCATAAGGGGGTTATGTGCTTATTTTCAAATGACAAGGGATAAATCACAATGGTGTCAAGTGAAGTTCGCCGAATTAAAATTGAATAAGATAAAATAATCAAATATATATATATATATATATGAAGAGAAAACACATGAAGTTTACATGGTTCAGTCATGATAACTTGCGTCCATGCGAGAAAATCACTAGCACTATTTTTACTCATGAATACAACCATATTTATAGACCTATTGAAAAAATTATTTGGATATCTAATGATTATATCCTTACTAATTAATCTCTAGAGTGAATCTTATCTCTAACTCAAGATGAGCATGGATCATACGTAAATGCTCATCAGTTTTCCCCCTCTTATAAATGTTCTATCTCTTTCTTGTTCTTGTTCTTTATGTATTTACAGGGGATACAAAATAAACAAACTCTATATTGAGAAATCAACTTCTCTTAAGATTGCACAAATGGACGTATAATACAATAGTAAATCTTTCACCACGTTGTTGAGTTCAATTCATGGGGAAAATGACTATTGGTAAGTGCATTGCTCTCTTTCAGTATGTAATGAAAGAAGTCTACTACAATAGTTGAAAACGTGATTTAATACTCCTGATAGCAAAATTGGCATTAAAAGTCGCAACATGCTGGATAGCACAAACAAGTAAGTTTGTGACGAGAAACAAAAACAAATAAAGATTGATTGAGAACTCCGAAAAATAGATTACAATTATTATTATTATTTATTTATTTTTATCTTTGTAACTAATGAGACAAAAAAAAGGTTGCAAAGGAGAATTGACACTAGGTATGGTTGATTTGCTTTGATTTGAAACCATGTAGAAATATAAAGGGTAAATTACAAGTACAACCCCTGAGGATTAAAAATACTGATTTTCCTCTCACCTTTGAGAAATTACGTCTCACAACTTGAGGTTTCCGATCGCATAACAAATGGCTACTTACATTAATCAACTGTTAAGTCAAATTAACAAAGTGTATGATGTATGCAACAAATATTTTTTTTTAGAAACACTTATATTAATCTTTATGAAGGTAAACACTTTATTTTCTTTTTTCTTATTGCACCTTCCTTATCTGCAATTTTCTCTCGATTAGTAACACTGTTTTGCCCAACTATATGGCACCACCCTCCCACTCTCGATCAGCACCACCGTCATTGTTGCCTACAAACATTTGGTGCGTCACTGAGGAGGGTTGGTAAATATTGTCGTGTAGAGAGAAGGCTTTGGTGGTGAGTGTGTGAAAATGAGGGTAGTATGATAGTATCATTTTGGTATTAGAGGGTATTTGGGTAATTTTATCATATTTTGTTTGGTTAGTTTTTCTACAAGGGGGTATTTTTAATTTTCAGAATGTGCGAGGTTTGTATTTTTTACAAACCTTGGGGTTGTATTTGTAATTTACCCAAATATAAAAATGAATAATATATAATAATCAAGAAAGAAGGATGTAAAGGGAATGTGAAGTTTATGTGCTTCGCCCATAAATAAGAAACAAGGATATTTAAAGAGAGAACATGTGAAGGATAAATGGTTCGACCATGATTATTTACATAAGAGAATATCACTACCACTATATTTACTTAGTCAAATGAATACATGTGAATACGATTATTCTTATAAACTTTAGGGATAGAGATAGGTTTGTTTGGATATCTAATATCTTTTAGGGCAAATTACGATGGTAGTCCTATACTTTACTCCTTGTACCGTTTTAGTCTCTATACTTTCAATTGGCTCGATTTTGACCTTGAATTTATAATTTTGTCTCAATTTGGTCCAATTGATTTCAATTCTTAGCATTTTTTATAGAAAATATGTACATAAGTGTCACATGTTATATTTTGAAGAGCAAAATTATGAAATGACTCAACTTAGTTAGTTAACCTAAACCAATTTAGTGACAACTTTCCTTAAAAGACACTAATGATATTATTTATTGAACCAAATTGAAATAAAATCTAAAATTAAGGGTTAAAATTGAGCCAATTGAAAATGTAGGGACCAAAATGACACAAGGGATAAAGTATAGGGACCATCGGTGTAATTTGTCCTATCTTTTATTAATTATCCTTATATATTAATCTTTAGAGATAAATTTAGTATTGTGAATTTTATTTCCAACAAACCTGCACACCCACGGCCATACTCGGCAGAATTTGCTTTTCTTGTAAAGCATATCTAAATATTCATTTTTGGTTTGGGGGATACTTGGAATTGACACATGCTTTCTTAGTCCTACCTGGTTGGTTGGTTGGTGCATTCTAGCATCAATTGTGTTTCCAACAAGGCATGAATTAGTGATAGATTTAGTCTGTATTTCTATCCAGTTAAATCCTTAAAATTATTATTCAATTAAATGCTTTCATATTCTACTCTCAAGTTGACTGATGCTTATGTTGTTTTTGCTAGTTTGTATCTTCTCATTTTGAAATTCAACAATTTCTTATTTCCATGTGAGTCAATTTTAGAAAAATTGTTAATTAACATAAATTAGATTTATTTGATATTTTCAGTTTAAAATGACGCCGTACCTATAGTTACTTCGTTCATAGCTTTATCAAAGAGATTTAAATTTCTCTTGATATATAAATTTAAAGAGTCTTACATATTAGTCTCGTTTTCATG